CCACGATCGCTCACAAAACTTCCCCCTGCGTTCTGGAGCGGGAGGGGGCGTGGCGGTTCATTGACTTCAATGGCACCACTTCCACCCCCCCACCAGCAGTGCGATCGGACGCGTGGCAAAACTTTGCCTGCGTTCTGTTCAACTGCAAACGCAAAAGGGCTTGCTCTATCGCCCTGGAACGCACCGCTTTTGGTGTGAACAAGCCCTTATTGTTAAATATCAAAACACATGTATTCCCAATATCTACATAGCGCCAATATATTATGCATCGCATTACTGAGTACAAAGAACCAATCATATCAGACCTTGTCTCTTGAAGACTATCACAAACTAATGCACCTCACACACTATCATACATGAGAGGATATTTAGGAGGATGCCAATTGACCTACCATTAGGTGATTGAAAGGAGGGAAAAAGTCAGAACACCTGCAGGATGCCTACACAGTACAAACTCCATCCAGATAGTATCCAAAACCAAGGCAAAAGTGCTAACCAATAGTAGGAATTAAAGGAGAACTATGGAGTCAGTGTTTTTCCCCATAGTTCTCCTTAGGGTAACGGGAGGACACAAACTAGCATTCTCCCTTTAGCCTAAGCTCAGTATACCGCGACGGGATCCGCCCAGCTGCGTGAGTGACAGCTGGCTCTGCCTATCTAGAGGCAGAGCCAGCTGTACCTGCCCCCTCCCCGTCCGTTCCGCCAGTCAGCGCTGGCAGATCGGAGGGGGGAGAGGGGAATCCAGCCCTCCCCCTGTCACTGCAGAGTGACAGGATCGAGAGGTGAGGGAACCCGGTATGTGTTCGCTCACCTCCCGATCTACTGAGCCGACCTGTGACAGTCTCATTGTCACAGGTCGGCTAGAACTATGAGGTGAGTGGGAATCACTCATCTCATAGTTCTCCTTTAATAAAACAGTACATCAGTTAGTGCTCTCCTCAAGTCTCTCAACTAAAATAACAGAAAGTATGCAAATCTGATTCTGAGCTCACCTTTAATCTGTCCAACGCTAAAAAAATATTACATGTACTGTATTGTGATGCTTACCAGTTCTCTGGAGAACACCGGGTGTCCGCAGTCCGCACCCCCAGCACACACCTTCAGTGACACCGCTGGGTGGGCCAACTCAATATTGAACCCTACGGACTAAGACTGGGATGCCAGTAAAGTTCATGTGCATGTAAAGGCAGGCGTTCCAATACTTTTGGCAATATAGTGTATATATACTGTGTATATATATAAATATAGTAGTAGTAATATATAAATATTTTATAATTCAGACTCACAATGTACAAATATCTGATTCACTTACCTGCTCAATCCAGTGGCTGACTCCTTGTGTCTTTCTTTTATAATGCTCCCTAGTACTAAGTATAATTAGTTAATCCTGAAATCTATATACAGTACACAGCCCCATGAAAGCCCCCACAGCCCAGTATTATAGCCGCTCTGTATATTTCTCTGCATAAAGGCCCAGGTTTATTGTGAATTCTGCACCCATAAACCATTTGTTAATATGGATCTTGTAGTTACATGGGGCCATCTATATTTAGTTTTGCATAAAAGTAATATTACCTTGACAGTGACATTGCTTTGGGTCTGAGATGCAAAACATATATAGAGAGAGAGCTGGCTGTATAATTAATCCTTTGAATATTCAGGTGTCTGTAGAGATTGATGATACTTTTTAAGTGCAATTAAATGTCAGATCGGCACCCCAAATGTGACCAGCAAGACCCGCAGTTTTGCTCCGCTCCAGAACGCGTAATGCAAAATACTAGGGATGCACCGATACCAGTATTTTGGTACCGGGTACCGATAATTTTTTTTCCGTACTTGCCAATACCAATTACAGAGTAACGGAAGTCCCATTCAGGAAGCCAGGTGGCGTGTAATGCACAACCGTGACGCATGTTGCTGCCACGCGCAGGTTTGAATGGGGTCTTAAAGAAGTGGGGCTACTGCCGCACTGCAAGGGTTAAGTGCTTGTATTGGTCTAGGGCAGGGGTAGGCAACCTTGGCTCTCCAGCTGTGCTGAAACTACAAATCCAATCATGCTTCTACCTCAGGGAGTCACACCTGTGGCTTGCAATGCCTTATGGGATTTGTAGTTTTAGCACAGCTGGAGAGCCAAGGTTGCCTACCCCTGGTCTAGGGTCTAAAATATAAAAGCCATACTCCCATTCTTGGCCCTGCCTTCTGCTAGTCCGGTCGCTGGAGCCATTTCTCCCCCCAGGCTTCAGCAGTCTAAGGACATGTGATGTCATTACATCCTTTCACTTTCATTGGACTTAAGGACACCATTCCACAGTCAGAGTGGTGTGGGAGAGAGGCGAGCGGTCAACGCCACAGGACCGAGGTTAGTTTTATCTTTTTTTTTTTAGACCCTACACCAAAACGAGCAATTAAAAAAACAATACAGACTAATGATTTTAGGCCAAATTTTTTATGATTATGAAGAACTTTAATTTAAGACTGTTTTAGAACAATAAAACATTTGTATTTGCTTTCACACAGCTTTCACAAATCCGATCATGCATCTGCCTCTGGGATCATTTAACCTATTCATCTTGTAACTCTATTGCTGCAGTGTAGTGGACGTGTGTGCTGTATATGTATTACATAGGCGGTTAAAGCTTCAGTTATTTTTCCATCTAGGAGGCCCACCTTCTTATACAGTAAATCATCTGTTCTTTTTCTTGGAAAAACTTCTATCACTCGTTTTCTAGTGGGTCCCCACAGCACTCATCTCCCCCACCTCCTGCACGGATGCTGTCAGCAGCTAAGCGACTGCAATGGAGGCACCTGTGCTTGCGTGTTCCTGCTGTGGCTGTGTGCGACACACACAGCCCTGCGGCAGGCCATGCCCCTCACTCCAAAAGGGTGATTGAAGGCAGAAGGAGCCTATGGCTCTTCTGCCTCATGCTCCTCCCCTCGTAACCAGGAAGTTCGGGGAATGGGAGGATCACTTCGGGGACCGGCGGCGGTGATAGCGCTGAGAACCTTAATGCAGAGAATCACGTCTCCTGCCTACCTAGATAAGGCTGCGCTATGTGATAGAGCTGTGTATTTCTTGTGAATGAATGAACAAAAACACAGAACCTTCAGGGTGAAACTGCTGCCATATATGTGTTTGATTTATGTATGTAGCTGTTTTTCCTGCAGTTCAGCATTAGTTAATAGATAACTGAAATTGGGGGGAAATAGAGGGAACATGAAAACCTGATTTAAATGTAAAAAAAAAAATGTTATGTGTATCAACCCCAGACTAATAGCTAGCAGCCACAGCTGGGCTTACTCAATATACTGCAAGGGGCATTGTGCTAGGCAAGAACTGGACCGCACCTAGCAAACCAATTGGAATTCATCTTGTACTAATATGATTTGAGTAACATGAATTTGGAATGGTTGTCATAATTTTCTGGAGTTTGCAAATAACTTTCTCCTTATTTATTGAGCAAGGCCATGTATTTGAATCACCTATAACGTGACTGTTCTCTATTAATTAAATAAGAACTGAATTATTGAAGCCAAAAAAAGGCAGGCAAAAGGCAAATGACTAGTCACCAGCATTGCCTGTGGTCACTCTGCAGCTGATCTTTCCCCATTACTAACTTACCATGCCTCTGTTCTGTCACTGTGTGAAGGTGGCCATCTTGGTAGAGGCAGGGTTTTTCTTCCCCATGTCAGAGCCTCCAGAAAGGAGAACAGTTATCAGCACAGTAGTGACATCACCAAATATCATTCCTGAGACCAGCAGGCAGAGGCAGCAGTGCCTGAGATCTCACTGCTGTATAAAGCATCTTCCAGCATCAGGCTACATTGGGCTTTTTTTACGGGACATCACCAGGCCATCAAACAACAATTAAAATGTATAATACTTTATTACCAACAATAACAGTATGTTAAAAAGTCCAAATTAAAACCATATTACTTATGCTGGTGTACATCCAAACAGAGTACATTCCACAGTTAGTTATAATAGCATGAGACTGTGAAGTAAATGCAGATATTGATGAACTCAATGCACAGTGACTGTAGATTCCTCATCGTGTATCGCTGATGACAAATTCCATAGAACAGATAGTGTGTTATTGACAGTATCAACAACTGAAAGTAAGGAAAAATAGCATAAAAATGAAAACAGATAGAGCCACCTCACTTAAGGACTGATAACCTGCAGGATATTACATTCGGTTCTCTTTTTTTTTTAGATACACTTTAAATCATAGTAAGTGTGCAAATGAATGAACTTACACTGAAGATCCAGTGTTGGATGTCATTAACATTGATAGTTACTCTGCAGGCTCCCTTTTGCCCCACACTCCCTCTTCCCCCTCTAAATAACCGCTGCCATTAAAAATAAAAAGTCCTAAATCCATGGCAATGTGACATTCTGGTCCATAGTCTTCTCTCTTCTTCTGTGTAGAGGAGTCTCTCTTTGGGTGTCCACATTACTGCCTTCATAACGTTGACACTTCCTATTGGCTGCCCAGCTGCGGGGTTCACTGAGAATCCAGAAGAGTAGTCTCAGGAGTGATGTAAGCAAAAGATCTCCCTCTGACAGGCAGTGCCGAGGGAACATGGAGCCAGCTTCCTTTCCAATCAGGAAACAGGGTGGTGGGTTATGACTCGCCTCCCAGCTTCCTGATTGGCTAGGAAGCTGGCTTAACTTGTTGCTAGGCAGCCTGGCTTCATAACAAATCAGGAAGCTGGGTGGCATGTAATGACCTGCCTCTTGGCTTCCTGATTAGTCAGAAAACCAGGCTGACTAGGAACGAGTGAAGCCGTCTTCCTTAGCCCATCAGGAAGCCAGGAAGTGGGTCATGACATGCTGCCCGGCTTTGCTAGGTAGGCTTCCTAACCAATCAGGAAGCCGGGCGGCACATCATGACTCGCCTACTGGTTTTCTGATTGGTAAGGAAGCCAAGCTGCCTAGACCTTTTTAAAGAATACATCATTGAAACAGGAGACCTATGCACAATAAAGTGTAATCATAATTATCTTTGGCCTATGATTTTGCAGGATTCCAGCCTACGCTTCACCGCTGACTTAACATCTTTATTTTTTAAGCTATAAATTAAAGGATTTAACATGGGAACTGCTGCTGTATTGAACAGAGAGAACATCTTCTTTGCATTCAATGTTCCCAGTGATGTCGGTGTCAAGTACTGAGAAACAAGTGTGGTATAGAGGAGAATGACCACTGTTAGGTGTGAGGAGCATGTAAAGAAGGCTTTTCTCTTTCCGGTGTTGGATCGGATCCTCATTATAGCACATATGATAAAAATATATGAGATAAAGGTAAAAAGGAAAGGGAGTAGTGTTATAACAAAGATTCCTTGTATTAGAAACACAATATCCAAGACTGAAGTGTCATTGCAGATAATTTTTATCAAAGGTATCATGTCACAGAAGAAGTGATTGATCTCATTAGAGGTGTAGCATGAGAAGCCTGAGAAGATCACAACAGCAGGAAGAACTTGTACGAAGCCCATCAAGTAGCAGCTGACAGCAAGTAAAGAGCAAACTCTACTGTTCATGATCATGTGATAACGTAATGGGTTACAGACGGCAACATATCGATCATAACTCATTGCAGACAAAATTAAAAGCTCATGTCCAATTAAGGATGCAAAAATGTACATCTGAGTTATGCATGCTGGGTATGAAACCATGTGATCTCCAGTTATGAAGATGACTAGGACTTTATGCAAAGTGATGGTGGAAGAAGACACGTCCACGATGGACAGGTTGGCTAGGAAGAAGTACATGGGAGTGTGAAGGTGACGATCCAAGCATATGAGCAAAATAATGGTCATGTTGCCACCAAGGGTGATGAGATAAATAAGCATTACGGGGACGAAGATAAAAACCTGGAGTTCTGACACATCTGTGATCCCTTTAATATAGAATAATGTTACCATAGTGCCATTTAATGGGCTTGAATACATTTCTTTGTTTTTTGATCTGGAACAAATAAGTCATATGCATAATTAGGTTAAACAATACACACCAATATCTTGTATTGCACTTACATTAACCTCTTGCCGTCCGCCCGTAGTAAAAAAACGGACGGACGGCACTGCAGCATCTGCGGGTTGCCGTCTCCAGACGGCAATTTTTTTCTGCTCGCGCGCGATTCAGATTAATGGCAATGAGCAGATCCATATGGATTTGTACACATATTGCTGGACTGCACCTTTCCACCTTAGATAAATTTGAAGCAATCTCAAGGTTTTACCATTTTAATTCCATATTTGATTTTTGCAATTGGGTATAGATTAACATAAAGAGGCATAGCATAGCAATAACAATAAGTGCAAAAAAAAATATATAAATAAAAAAAAAGAAAAGTAACACATAAAAAAATAAAATAAAATAAAAGCCACATATAAAAAAAGGGGAAAAAACCCCCCCAAAATGTTTAACTCCCCCACCCCCACGTTTACGCGCCTATAAACGGCATGCAATGGCATGCATTGGGAGTTAAAATCACATTGCCTGCCCTGTCTTGTGCTTGGCAGGCAGTTATAGTCATGTTAAGTTAATATTGGTTGTCATTTTGTTGCACACACATGGGGTCTACATGGACTTCTTGGCCAATCAATAATATTTGTGTTTCTGTGTCCTGCTGAATAACCCCTACAAGTGTAGAACTTAAAACTGTGTTTCTCCTTCCTCCTTGATGTATAAAAATTACCAGGAAGCCCTAAAATGCTCCTTGGTGAGTGGACCTTAAAACCTCTCCATTTGAAGATGATCCATACATGAAATCGAATACAGGCAGTCCCTGAGTTACAAACATCCGACTTACATACGACCCCTACTTACAAACTGAGGCTATTACTGTACAGCAGGGGGTCCCAGACTGCAGCAAAAGTGTACCACTCAGCATTTCAGTAGTTGTAATACTACCATGCTCGTGCCGCCGAGGACTGCCCGCCTTTTTGGGTCTGGTTTGTAGTACTGTACGTACATTACAGGAAGTTGGCTTTTGTTAGACGTGCAGACGAGGGGTGCCCACCTCTTCTTCCAGGTCACTGCAAGGTTTTTACTGCTGTCTGTATCCTCAGTAGAAAGATTTAATCTACCTAAGGGTAGATTTCCTCTCACTTCCTGTTGTCTCAAGGACAGGAAGTGAGAGGAAATCTACCCTTAGGAAGGGAAATCCACTCCTGTAAGAGTTATCATTGAAAAAAGGTGTCTCCACTGAAGCCTTATCACCAATCCTTGTTTCCACGACAACCCCAAATTTTCAAAGGTGAAACCTTCTGAACAGGGGCACACACAGCAAAACAAACATTACAGGGGGTTAACCCTTCCCTGAGCTATACAAAACAAAAATACATTTTTTGGCTGGTGATGCACTTAAAAAACTTACCTGTTCCATCTTACACACAAATTCAACTTAAGAACAAACCTACTGTCCCTATCTTGTTCGTAACCAGGGGACCGCCTATACTGAACATTTAGAAACTTTTAAAATTGAGAATATACTTGTGAATAAAAGTTTGATATGGTTTGTTATGAGGCACAGAGCACTTTTAGACATGGCACTTTCTGCATTTATCACTTTGAAGGGCCATTGCATTATATGAGTATAGATGGAATAGCTTGCCCATGGTGAACAGGTATTTTTCATCTTTACCTTCCAAGTCACTCTTTCCCAATACCTCAGTTAGAAGACTACTGGCCCTAGGACACATTCCTAAATTCCATCCCAAAATATGCATTATCAGCAGGGTGAGCATTCATTTTTTATATACTCTCAAATTCAAAAGAATTAACTATGTTAGTGTGAGAAGCATTAAATGGGTGGCACAGTATAGGATAATGTTTTTTATTTTTTGTTTCTATAGAGTTACATTTCACTTGTCCTTTTCTCTACTAAATCACAATTCACCAATGAGACATTATAACAACATGCATCACAACATTTACTAATGCTTTCTGTTTAATTAGTATACCCAGTGGGGTTCTGAGAAACATATTTGTGGACCTTATGCTATATCAATCGACCCCTGTATCCTGACTATCCCGGCACACTGCATTTATGGGTGACATAAAGAGCCCTAAAATGCTCATGTATCCTCAAAATAAAAAGTTACTCTAGGCTCCCACACCAGTTTACGGTCATGGGATCAAATGCCAGACCACATTTGGATATTTTTGCACCTGACAGAGTTTAGAAAACTGATCAGTTCAGACAAGTGATTGACTCCTGAGATCATTGTTGTAGTGTATGTGTATATTAAAAAATATATTGCACTTTGCTAAATTAGACCAATAAATAAGTTATAAAAATAAGAATAAGAATATAAAAAAATAAGAATAATTAAAAAAGACGCACTGTGCAAATAATAAAAAAATTTACAACATCATCAATCATAAATTCATAACCTATGATAAATAAAGTGCATAAAGTCCATACAGGTGCCAACAATCATGAGCAAGATATAAGAATGATACCCTTAACCAGTAATGAATAATAATAATAATAATACATAGCCTAAAACTGAATAAAGTGCATATAATCCATAGTGTCAATAATCAATGTGCAAATTATGTAAAATTGTGCAAATGATTTGCACTTTATTTGTTTTTAGGCAATGTTTTTAAATTGAGCCTGTTATTATTCATTGCTAGTTAAGGGTATAATTTTTATATTTTACACATTGATTATTGGTACCTGTATGGACTTTATGCACTTTATTTATCATAGGTTATGAATTTATGATTGATGATGTTGTAATTTTGTGTATTTGTATATAATTTGCACATTGGGACATTTTTATTTATTCTTATTTTTATAACATTTATTGGCCTAATTTAGCGCAGTGCAATATATTTTTTTATGATTTCTGAGGTGGTGATTACCTTATGCACAGCAGCTCAGTCAGTTTTTCATTTGAATAGTTTAGATAGGGGTGCAGACAATCATGTATTTTTGTGTATATGTATACAGTGTGAAATGATGGTCAGGATAGAGGGGGTGACTAATATACTTAACTGCTAGTCTGTAGGCAGGTTTAGAAATCTTTAAAGATTGGATAGATAGAGGCTGTTCACTTAGGAAGGTGCTTGTTAACTTTGCAAAGTAACTATCCTCTTAGCTTAATTAATAAGATGAAGCTATGTTCACTTAAGCCATCCAATCAAGTACAAGTTAGAATTCTTTTTTCCTTGCACACACATGATTGAGTCTTCGGAGTGAACACAGCTTCAGCTTATTTGGTAAGTTAAGGGAAAGTACACTTTGCAAAGTGAACAGTCTCTACTCCTTTAGTAAATTCAACCCATTACTTAAATGAAAACTTAAATTCTATGTTTTTTACAGAGAGTTTTGAGCATAAATGATGCACACTTACCTGTTAAATCAAGTAGCTGACTCCTTATAATTTGTGGCTGTTATGACAATTTTTACGGTATAATCTTCTAATGCTGAATATTGTCTCAACAGACCCATGAGAACAACCAAGCACCGTGTAAAAGACAGAATGGATATCCTTGGCTATTCCTGGTTTAAAAATAATGTACTTACTGTTAGGTTATTGAGTTTTAAATGTTAGCCTTTAATTAGCTTTGAAAAAGCATGTTTTGTTGTTGAAACTAATAAACACCCAAGAAATGTAAACATGCTTGCTAGTAAGTGATTGATGTGTCTTCTCATATATATATATATATACACATCTGTAAGTCTTTAATTATTCCATTGAGTATTTGAGTGTCATTAAATATTGATCCCACAGGACATGTCAGACAAAGCATAAATATCAACTTTTTTGTTGACATAATTATTAGCAAAACTGGACTTTTTTATTATACCATAATTATTTTTATAAATATGTTATTTTAAAAATTCATGTAGAAAGACATTTTAGTACTCTTTAGATACAATAAATGACACCTTATTAAATATTCCTGTACTAACCAGTCACTTTGTGGTATCGTCTTTCTCACCTATTTCAGCTATTTAAAATATGTCTAAACCCTGCCACTAAAATTTGTTTTTAATGTTTTAAAATCTGTACCTTTCATTAAAGTTATAGATGCTGATCATAAAGGCCTTTGTTCAAGCCATTCCTGCTATGAAGAGACAGCCACCTCTGAAGTGTGATATTGTAATGATAATGCCATCAGACACTTGAGTGTTTGCACCTTTGAAGATAGCTGATTGGGGACGACATAGGTCCACGAAGCGCTTGAGTTTGGAACTTCTAATATGTTTGTTTTAATTCTGAATTACCAATTAGATTTAAATCTTTATTTAAAAAATAGCAGTTGTACAACAAAAGATTTAATCTTCTTTGTCTACGAACTACAGAGGCACTCTTATGTAGTGTAATTTCCTTAATGAGGCTAAATGTTTTTTCTACTTTTAAATAGGTATTTATATAGTGCCAGTTCGGCAAATTTATGTCATCAAAGCTAAACATTCCTTCTTGGACCGTGGGTTTTTTCATAATTTATTCTACACCTTCTGAGACACCTTTGAAGAGCTGACTTCACATCTTTATTTTTTAAACTGTAGATGACCGGATTTAGCAATGGGACTGCGGCTGTGTTGAAGAGCGAGAAAAACTTTTTGGAGTCCATAGAACTTATTGGAACAATATACTGGCAAGTAAGAATGATGTAGAGCAGTACAACGACGGTGAGATGGGAGGAACATGTGTAGAAGGCTTTGCGCCTACCAGTACTGGATGGTATTTTTATTATGGTAGATATAATAAATATGTATGAGATAAAAGTCAGAAGGAAAGGCGTGAGTGTTGAGACAATTAGGCCTTCGGTAAGGGTCAGAAGTTCCAGAACTAAAGTGTCACTGCAAGTTAACTTTGTAAGGGACACCATATCACAGAAGAAATGGTTGATTTCGTTGGAGTTATAGCATGTAAAGCTTGATACTATGACAGATGGTGGAATGACTAGTACGAAACCCAACACCAAACAGCACGTGGCCAGAAGAGCGCAGGCTTTACTGCTCATGACAGTGTGGTAACGCAAAGGGTTGCAGATGGCCACGTATCGATCATAACTCATAGCTGTCAGTACAAAAAGCTCATGTCCTGTTACTGATGCAAACATATACATTTGAACCAAGCAGCCAGAGTAAGAAATTATTTTATTCCCTGTGGTGTAGATAACAAGACTCTTATGAAGTGTGATGGTCGAGGAGGACATGTCTGAAATAGACAAGTTGGCCAAGAAAAAATACATTGGTGTATGAAGATGACGATCAAAGCAGACCAAGGTCAAAATGGCCATGTTACCACCAAGAGTGAGGAGATAAATAAGCAGAACAAGAATGAAGATTGGATCCTGAAGCTCTGGAATATCTGAAATCCCCTTTAGAGTGAAGAAGGTGAAGGATGTGTGATTTGAAGGGTTTGTGTACATAGCCTTTTCGGACATTAATTCTGAAAGATTTAACAAAAAAAAAATTTTTTCATTTACATCTGACTGTGACATATACAGTTATAATATAAATATGCATATCTAACTTCATACAAACACACAAATGGGGCAATAAAATATTTTGTCCCAAAGACTGAGGGCATCAGCTATGCATGGATGAATTAAAATCACTGAACCGATTTACCATCAGTTTAATGTGTATGTAAGTGCAAAATTAGGTAACAAAACATATTCAGTACATTTCTGCAATGTTTTGTCTTTTTCTTGCCTGCCCAATTCACCTCTGTGATACACGAAACCACTTCTTCCCCCATGTTATAGAGATGAGGAGAGGGGGAGCTATTATGTACTCCAAATCACGAAAGCTGCCTTGGGCAACAAATCTATTAATCTATAGATACAGAGCAGTAAATGAGCAATGAGTGTTGTCACCCTAGGACAGGAAGTGTGTTACTGGCAGGCTCACTAAGTGAAAAAAAAGAGAATAAAAGAAAACTAATGTAGGCATAAATGTAAATAGGTAATGTTCAGCAGAGGAAGTCAATGAAGCCACACCCCATAATGATAAAGTACAAACACGACAAAACAGGCTTATAGCCTGGTGGGGGCTTTTAAGGTATGCAAACAGAGCACATCCAAGGGAGTAGTGGTCCATGTCCTTGTTTCTACTGGTCCACACTTGTCATAACATACTCCTGAAGAAGCCACATATGGTGAAATGCGTTGAGGAAACAGCAATGTACCAGCTACCACTTCGGTGATATTTCATCACAACATTGTGGGACTCAAACTGCATTTAACTAATTGTGGAATCAATATTTAAATATTGGCGCTTATATACGCCATATTTACTGCCTGATTGACTTGATCTTTTTAGCTACTATGTTTTAATTGTTATTATTAACATTTAATTTGTTTTAATTTAAGGCCTTGTTTTCATACCTTAAAAGCCCCAACAGGCTATATGTCTGTTTTGTTGTGTTTGTACTTTAATGGAGACACAAAGTCTAAGCACATTTTTGTTCTTGGACATAGATACACTTTAAGTGTTTTTTACAGTAAGTTTTTTATGCTGTGACATGCTCTGCTGAATAAGGTGGTAATAGCAAAGCACATAATGTTATTTGGGAATATTTTTATCCAGGAAGCTGGTTTTACTGCTACTGTGGGATTCAGAAATAATTGCCCCCCTGTGTTGCAAAATAGTTAAATCCCAAGTTACAGAAATAGATTTGCAGTCTTCACGTTCCTGTTACAGCAGTTGTGCAGGGTGTCTAAAAATCTTTGCATAGCCCGATAGCCACCAAAGTTAGATCCAGGGATCAGTAATCAGTACTCATTAAGAGAACTGATAAGACACACCCCCACTTTTACTCTGCAATACAAGTCTATGTAAGCACACTTGGGATGAGGGCTATGGCTGTTACTCAGCTATGTCATCATAAAGCACTGAAGTGTGAGAGCACATAGAGGCATTTTCATGTATAAGAAAAGTTATTTAATATATTAAAGGTATTTTTATAGTGCCAACAATTTACACAGCACAGTTACATCAGTCCCTGACCTGAAGGAGCTTACAATCTAAGGTCCTTATCTCATAAACATACTGGGGCTAATGAACTTATCAGCATGTCTTTGGGAGAAAACCTACACAAGCACAAGTAGAACATGCAAACTCCATGCAGAAAGTGTGCTGACTGGGATTTAAACCAGGCCAGGATTCAAACCAGGGACCCCAGTGCTGCAAGGCAGATGTGCTAATCACTAAGTCAATGTGCTGCTTAATTTCCAAAAGTAAATAAAACATAGCAAAAAAAAAACGATGCTGGAAAAAGGATAGCAATAATTAACAATGTAAAAATATAAACCAGTTGTCAAAAAGGTTGATGTAACTGTGGAAAAGGGCAATTAATGGGAAACCTGGATTTCCTTTTCTCATACTAATATTAACACTCTTCAATTAATCTCCTTTGTAGACAGGGGATAAGTAGATATCCTAGTGATGCGTTCATGTCAATGGGAATTACCAAAGATAGAATTTTAAAAAGAGACAATCATAAGTCTAGAAATTGATTAACACGAAATCTGTTCATTCAAACTTAGTAACATGATGAAATGTTCAGCCATAACCTGTAGAATATAAAAAGATAGATAGATAGATAGATAGATAGATATCTTTGTATAAATAATAAAAAGGTAGGTATCTGTCTATCTCTCTTTTATCTATCTATCTATCTTTGTATAAACAATGACATATCTATACATTTTTATTTCTAAGTTATCATGTCTATCAACCTACCTACCTTTATATGAGATTAGATAGATAGATAGATAGATAGATAGATAGATAGATAGATAGATAGATAGATAGATAGATAGATAGATAGATAGATAGATAGATAGATAAATAGATAGGTAAAACTGGAACAATGAGCAGAAATCCAGGTAGATGAAAGACATATAAACTACAGGCACATTTAGGCTGATTTACTAAAGGATTTGAAACTGTTCACAGAAAAAAAGAGAAGATTCACTTCAATTCTCCTAGCACGTGAAAACCAAATTACTTTCTTATTTATTTCATTTGTACAGGAATGAATAGTTAAAGTGAGTCTTGAATCTTTTTGTGTGAGAGCATTCTTGACTCCTTCAAGAACTCAGCTTCAAAGTGACTTTAAACCCAACAATCCAGCCCTAAAAGGCAATGGGTTCAATTGCTTAGCCACCATATTGTTCAGCGACAGTCTTACCTTTCTGGTAGGATGCTGTCTTATATTCTTGTGCTCTTGGAAGGTTTTTTTTTTTCTTTTTTTTAACAAGTATAACACAGGAATTTTAAGGTGCAATGCCTACGAACATATATAATAAAATTGTTCACATACTATAATGTGAGGTGATGTAGAATCAGAATTTTAGCAATGCTCCTTGAATCCTAACAGCTCTGTGTACACCTGGTACGTATGTGTTTATCCTACAGAAATACATTATTTTACTGCGGGTTCTGTTTATATACTGTACATTCCCCTATATCTGTGTACATTGCAGCTTTGTAAGTGCCAATTAGCATATTTGCTACAAACATGACTCCCTTGGCACTCTGCGACAAATGTTCATCTTTAAGGACGCAGCTTATAGGTAATAATTAACTGTTAAATGTATATGCACGTGAGTTTAATTGGATTGTTACTTACAGTAAAAAAAATAAGCAGTCAGGTTTAAAGTACATGGGTTGTTGTAGTCTGATGCTTCTCAGTAATTTTAATGTAAATCTGATTTTTATAAAGGCAATTTTTTCCATTCTCTTCATCGAAATATAACCCCCAGCACCCTACAGTGCAACCTTTAGATTTCCATCCACAATCTGTCATGGTAATTTTTATGTAGTGATTTTTTTATTTGTTTTTATGTTTTTAATAGATACAATGGTATTTCACTGTTAGAAGTGACTTTTTTGTTTTTAGCCCAACATAAATAATACTTGTTGCTGGATTGGAGTCCTGATGATTTGAGAATCTTTGCTATAATTTGAGGAGGACTTTCCTATTTGGAAGAGTGATGTGTTCTTTGACCTATCTATTACATGGAAATTGTGACCTGCTTTCTAATTATAGGTGGAGGCACACAGTGATTTATTACACACCTTCAAGATGTTCAGATTGGATTGACATTTTATGGAATTTTTATTACATAGAGTATATCACACACAAATTTGCAGGAAGGCTTTTAATATCATTTTTAAAAGCAACAAACATGTAAATGATTTGCCCAAATGTGCCAACATTTGATTTTAAATTTTAACTCCTTTACATCTTTACTCTTTAAGTTGTAAATCAGGGGTTTGAGCATGGAGACAGCAATTGCCCAGGTATTGCCGCCCTGGTTTTAGCAGAAGCACTGGGACTTGCTGGCTCCTTATTGGCACACGCATTGTCCTAAGTAAGACTATGGGGTCTATTCACAAAGTTGCCTTAGGCAGCCGAGTGAACAACCGACCCGAAGTGAAGTGAGCCGAACACTATTTGGCTATGCACTTCAGGCTTGTACGGCTGATTTAAGCCGTATATTGGCTGAAATCAGCCGTACATCGGATGGCTTCGGGTCGGCCTACCCAAAGTGCAGAAGGAGTTCAACATCTGGATCGGCTGAGCCAGGACCAGCTGTCATTAGAATTAGACCTTGTCGGAGCCGACGGGGATATGAAAGCCGAATCTGCTAAGCTCTAATCCTAATGACAGAACAGCGTCTGCTGGTTACCTAGTAACCAGCAGACGCTGTTCTGTCATTAAGATGAAAGCTTGTGATTTCATATCACTGCCAGCTCTCCTAAGCTCTCGTCATAATGACACATGGGCGTCCCTGGTTACCTGGTAACCAGGGATGCCCATGTGTCTTTACACACTGAGAACCTGGCGGAGCTGCTGTGATTTTACAGCAGCTCCGCCGGGTTCTCAGTGTACTGAGGAGCTGCAGTGTAATGACAGAAGGCGTCCCTGGTTACAAGGTAACCAGGGATGCCTTCTGTTATTACACACAGATCCCCGCGGAGCTGCTGTGATTTTACAGCAGCTCAGATGGGTTCTCAGTATAATGATAGAACGGCGTCTCTAGTTACCTGGTAACCAGGGACGCTGATCTCTCTGCAAGTGGCCGGAGCCAGCCGTGAGATGACGGCTGGCTCGGCCCAGCTGTCAGAAGCAGGCTGTCAGCTGGCTAATGGCCAGCCGTTCGGCCAGCTTCGAATTTCCCCTGGGCTCAGTCGATCTGAAGCATATGCCTTCGGCGCGACTGAGCCCCTCGGCCAACTTCGGGGGCTGTACGGGCTATAGTGAACAGCCTGTACAGCAGCCCTGAACCGAAGGGGTCCTGGGGCCAAAGCTACCTGGAGGATCAGCCGAAGCTATGGCTAGATCCTTCCATAGCTTTGTGAATAGACAACTATGATATCATGTTTTATATTTTTTACATGTATATTTTTCTGTTTTCTTTTCTTCTTTTTA